TTAATTCATTGACATTCCTCTCTCAGTTATCCATTCTTGTTATCACTTCCTAGAAAATTTTTTCAAATTTTTTTTCAAGGTTCTTAGTTTCTTTGCATTGCTTTAAAACATGTTCTTTTAGCTCACAAAAGTTTCTCATTATCCACCTTCTGAAGTCTAATTCCGTCATTTCATCACATTCATTCTCCGTCCAGCTTTGTTCCCTTGCTGGTGAGGAGTTTTGGTCCTTTCTAGGAGGCAAGGTGTTCTGGTTTCGGGTGTTTTCCTCCTTTTTTTGCTGGTTTCTTTCCATCTTTGTGGATTTAGCCACCTGTCATCTGTGTAGTTGCTGACTTTTTGATTGGGTCTCTGAGTGGACGCCCAGATTGTTGATGATGAAGTATTTCTGTTACTTGGTTTTCCTTCTACCAGTCTAGCCCCTTTACTGTACGACTGCTGAGGTCCTCTCCAGGCCCTGCTTTTCTGGGGTACACCTATAGCAGCTGCAGAACAGTGAGGGATGCTACCAGTTTCTTTTTCTGCCATCTTTGTCCCAGAATGATGCCTGCCAAATGTCAGTCTTTTGGATATAGAGGGGTCAGGGAGCTGCTTGAGGAGACAGTCTGTACTTTATAGGAGCTCAAGTGCTGAGCTGTGAGCTCTGTTGTTCATTCAGGGCTGTTAGGCTGCTACATTTAATTCTGCTGCAACAGAACTCATTAAAAAAACCCTTTTTTTCTCAGATGCTCTGTCTCGGGGGGGTTGGGGCTTTCTTTGTTAGTGTCCGTTGTGCTTTCCTGCCCAGCTAGGAGACAGTCTAGTCACTATTTGCCTGCTGAGGCTCCTCCCTGCTGGTGTGAGGTTCACCCTGTTGCTGCAGGCTCTGCCCTTCTGCTGCGATCTCCGCCCTCCTGCCACGGGCTACGCCCTGCGGCGGAGTCTCTCTGTTGTAGTGGGTTGCCTCGGCAACGGCAGACAGCGTCAGCAATGGGCGTGTACCTCAGTGGGGGCAGATTGCCTCGGTAATGGCGGACACCCCTCCCACACGGAGCTGCATCGTTCTGGGTTCAGCTGTGTTCTCAGGGAACATCTCCACTGGGAGCGTTTGGAATCCCTGTTTTGTTTGTCCCACTGTGCTACCCCAAACGCTGTTTCCCTGGAATCTCCTGGGCTGCTCACTGTCCAAGTCCCGTTCAGTCTCAAGTTCAGCCCTCTCAAGTCTCAGATTGCCGGTTCAACAGGGCACCCGGACCAGTGTGCTTTGTGCGGAGCGCTGTGTAGCACCGCTGTGCTATAGCGCCGGCCGCCAGCCTCACCGGCTGCCGGCTGCACCAGCCAAAACCTCTACCTGGCGTCCCGTGTCTCTTTTATACCTGGGAATTTCCCCGTTCTGTGGGCAACAAAGATCCATCTGGAAATGCAGCCCTGACTCACCCTCTCCACGCATTCACTGAGAGCTTCAATCCTGGGTTGTTCTCACCGCGCCATCTTGAGTCAGTCCTCTCCTCTTTTTTTTTTTTTTTAGAAGGAGTTTTGCTGTTGTTACCCAGGCTGGAGTGCAGTGGCACGGCTCACCGCAACCTCCGCCTCCTGGGTTCAGGCAATTCTCCTGCCTCAGCCTCCTGAGTAGCTGGGATTACAGGCTCATGACACCATGCCCAGCTAATTTTTTGTATTTTTAGTAGAGACGGGGTTTCACCATGTTGACCAGGATGGTCTCCATCTCTTGACCTCATGATCCACCTGCCTCGGCCTCCCAAAGTGCTGGGATTACAGGCTTGAGCCACCGCGCCCGGCCTCCTTTGCCATTCTTAATGAATTATGTGAAATATTAACTACTACTTAGACAAACACTGAAACTACTCTTTAGAGAATTTTTTCACCTTTGTTTTTCTTGCTTTTGATTTTACTTCATATACTACATTCAGATTCTGTTATATGCATTATGTTTGCATACAATATCCTCTTATGGTTACAAATATTATTATTAAGCATCCTAATTAGATAACACTTGTAGAACATTTAATGTTTGCCATCCATTGTTCTAATTGCTGAACATACATTAACTCCTCTGTAATAACATCTGTGAGTGCTACTAATATTATCCTCATTTACAGATGATAAAATTGGACATTCACATTAGACTCAACTCTAAAAGATGTTATCTTCTCTTTGTCAGTACCTGTTAATAGAGTTAGAATTACCTAACTGCATCCCTTATGAGTTCATTATTTTCTTTTTATTCCATAGTTCATTGTTTTCTTAAAGGTTATTAGTCATTGAATCCTTCAGTACGGTTACACTGACGACAATCTAACTTAAATCCATATAGATTGATTGAATACATCTACTAGGATTGGAATTTTGTAGGTCCTATGTCAGCTTTCTTTTATTGACGTTGATGTGGAGGACTTTTTGTGATCTGCAGACTCAGGTGGGGGTGGGGGAGGAAGAGCTCAGAAGTAGGACAGACATTGGAACTCATCTCTTTTCACACTATTATTCACATGGATATTTTAAAGCAGCAAGAGATTTGCTACTATAAAGTCTCAATTTTGTCTTCATCTCCTTTTTACACACCACCCCAATTTTAAAATGGATAATGTGTGTACTATAAAGGAATAATTGGAACAAAATATATTTTTATTATAAACTAATCTTTGGCTGTTCTTAAAAACTTGTTGGTGTCAGTATATGGGAAGTGATTCTTCAGAATTACATTGAGAAATAGTTGGAGAAAATTAAAATATAAAACTAAAGAGACTTTTGTTTCCGTGGCCTTTTGGTCCTATATATTTAGAAGGAAAACTTACTACCTGTAAAAAAGATTATAAAATTATTACATAACATAATTATGTTCTAACAGATAAAAACACACTAATTTTCCTGCTGAAAATTTAAATCTTGTATGTATTAAAGATTTTATGTAAGAATTTTGCTATACAATTACATTGAAAAGGTATCTCTATTTAATATAATTTTCCATAATTAACTGAATAATTACTAATTAAGCACTTTCTCTTTGTAAGGTATTGCCTTAGGTACAAATATTGTGACAGTTTTTATTTACAAAGTATTATCTTAACAAATTAATTTTCTAAACGAATACAGTTTAGGTGTTAAGATAAAAAATGTACATTGCTTATTGCTTTGTTAGTACTGCTGCTTTAAAATATTTAATAAGTATTACATGCCAAGTGCAGTGGCTCATGCCTGTAATTTCAGTACTTTGGGAGTGTGGTGGATCACCTGAGGTCAGGAGTTTGAGACCAGCTGGCCAACATGGTGAAATCCCTAAAAATACAAAAACAAATTAGCTGGGTGTGGTGGTACGCACCTGTGGTCCCAGCTACTCAGGAAACTGAGGCAAGAGAATCACTTGAACCCATGAGGTGGAGGTTGCAGTGAGCCAAGATCATGCCACTGTACTTTATCCTGGGTGACAGAGCGAGACTGTATCTCAAAATAATAATAATAATAAAATAAAATATTTAGTAAGTATTTCATATGGCATTTCATCAGCATTCACACTTGTGAAATCTCTGTCACAAATCTTTGCTGATTTGAGTGTGAGGAGCCCAGGTCTGATGCTGACAACACTGCTGGTGTTAATTTCAGAGCAATCATCTTCAATGAAGAATTTTACCTTAGATTAAGAAATTCAGTTCCTTCTGTTAACTCAAGAGATTTTAGCAATTCTGCTGCTGTTTATGTTTATTTAATATTTTAATCATAGTAACTTTATAAAATTCATGATTTTATTGTTTTCATGGAGATTCTAATAGTTAAATAATTTTTTGTTTCTTTATAGACATAAATTTTATGTTTTATAAATTAATCTTTTCCAAGATAATTGTATTTTTCTAAATTGTTTACTCTGGAATGTTAGTGTGCAAAAGGCAAGCTAAAGTCGATCCCACAGAATGTTGAATGTCTATTTCTGCCAGCTTAGTATCTTAAATCTTTGCTTCAAAGAAGTTCTTCTTGCTCAGGAAGTTATTCATTCAGCAACCTAAAATTGTTTTTTGAGTACATACCAAATGTAGGGCTCTGAACAATGTCTTAGGAAGACCATAAAGGTGAATAAATAAGTGCTAATTCATTTTTCAGGATGTTAACTTATCTCCTTAGAGGTTTAAGGCACATAGGCATATGCTATGTATACTTAAGGTGGTATGGCATAAGAGTTCATATGCTCGCCAACTTAGAACTGTTTGACTTATGATCTTTCAACTTTACAATGGCATGAATACTGTGCTATACACATTCAGTAGAAAGTGGTATAATAGTCCCTTGATGCTGGGCAGCAGCAGTGAGCCACCGATCCTGGTCAGCCACATGATCACAAGGGCAGACAACCGATACTCTATAGTGTACTGTGTTGGTAGGTGATTTTGCTCAGCTTTAGGTGAATAAAAGTGTTTTCAGCACATTTAAGGTAGTCTAGACTAAGCTATGATATTTGGTAGGTTAGGTGTATTACATCTATTTTTGACTTAACAACATTTTCAACTTTCGATGAATATATGGGGAAGTCACCCCTGCTAAGTTGAGGAACATCTATATAAAGAGGTAAAGGAGTGCAAAGGATAGAGGCAAAGAATGCTTCTGGCTGGGAAATCTGGAAAGCTTCTTGGGTTGGATCTTGAAGAATAAACAGTATTTTGTCAGCTTAAAATTTCTGAAAGGAGGCTATATTATGCAAGGAAAATGGTTTCAGGTTTGAATTATTATGAAAATTGAAGCAACAGTAAAGAGGGGGTAGTCAAAAGGCATATAATTTTTGAGGGGGAAAACCTAAATTTTAATTGGATATAGCCAAGATGTAGCAACAAATTTAAATCATGATATACAAGTAACAACAGTCATAGCTGTTGCTACTTTTACAGCACTTGTATATCATGATTTAAATTTGTGTATGATATGATAGCTGTAATTTGTTTTTAGATATTGACAGCAAATAAAAGCAATCTTTGTTTTTTGGTACATTTTGTTATGTTTTTTAACTTATGTTTCAACAGGAACAATATAAACAGGCATTCCCATCACAATTAAAGAAACAAGAGTCATCTAAGAGCCTGAAGAAGGTTATTGCAGCTTTGTCAAATCCAAAAGCAACCTCTAGTTCACCAGCACATCCAAAACAAACATTAGAAAACAACCACCCGAATCCATTCTTGACAAATGCACTTTTAGGTAATCACCAACCAAATGGAGTTATTCAAAGTGTCATTCAAGAAGCTCCTCTAGCACTTACTACCAAAACTAAAATGCAGAGCAAGATTAACGAAAATATTATTGTTGCAAGTAGCACCCCTTTTTCGTCACCTGTAAATTTGAGTACAAGTGGCAGAAGAACCCCTGGCAATCAGGCACCTGTAATGCCCTCTGCCTCTCCCATCCTGCATAGTCAAGGAAAGGAAAAAGCAGTTAGCAATAATGTAAACCCAGTAAAAACACAGCATCACTCCCATCCTGCAAAATCTTTAGTGGAACAATTCAGAGGAACAGATTCAGACATTCCCAGTAGTAAAGATTCTGAAGATTCAAATGAGGATGAAGAGGAAGATGAGGAGGAAGAAGATGAGGAAGATGATGAAGATGATGAATCTGACGACAGCCAATCAGGTTATTTTCATTTTAAAATTTAAAATATTTTTCTAAATGCTATGTGAATCAAACAGTTTAAAGGGCTTCTTAATTCAGACTTAAAATCGGTGTCATTTACTATGTCTCACACAGCTTTTTGCATTTCTGTAATGAGCTTGTAAAATACAGGAGTAATTGATACTGGAAATCCTAAGTCAGATTCTCAGCTTGTTATTCACTTGACATTAAACAAATAATCACTTTAGAGTGAATACAAATGATGTATAATTGAGACATAATTACATCAACTTGGTTAATTTTTATTTCATTTAGGACCACTCTTTTTTAATTTCTTCTGCTACTTGTTAAAATGTATCACCGGCTGTTTTGAAAAAAGGTAAAATTATAGTCATAGTCATTCAGAAGGTACCAAAAACCTAAATCACTATAAATGTCCCACAATAACACAGAATTCATTAAATAGCATATACAGTACTCTCTGATTTAATTTTGAGTCACTTTCTACTTTTTTTTTTTTTTTTGCTGGGTTGGGGGTTAACTTCTTTGAATTTTTATTTTCCTTCCCTCTCCTCATTCCACAGAAGATTGAAAACATAAAATACAAGAAAGCTTAAATTGTGAATACACAAATGAAATACATATTATAAATGTTTGTGGATTTGTTACTGGTCATCTACAGATTCAAGTAATTATTTTAGCAGCTAAATGAATAGGAAAATATACTCGGATATACAATTTAAAGTATCTATAAGTTAAAAACAAATTTTGTGCTCAGGGTAAGAACCACTCTTCATGGGGTTCCCATAAACAACTTTGCATGATCATAAATATCAATATTCATAACTTTAAACATAAATTTTTATAATAAATTTCAGTATAGGCAAATAGTATCACACAAACCAGATATCCACAAGAGCTATTGTTCTGGGAACTATGAGGAAACAGTCTAAGTATCACTCTTATGTTTATCAAGTTTAATCTAGTAATAGACTTTACACATCTAGAGGAATGGATGCATCATGCATAGGATTACATAGCTAGAAACAAATTATTAAATTATCCTACTATAATTATTTCTGTAAGCCTAATTTTTTGAGAGGCCTAAAAAGCCTGATGAAGTCTTGTATGTAAACAGAAAAACTGCAGCCAAAAAATAAGAATCTCCTGTTGAAATTGTTTTGTTTTACTCCAAAGCCCAAATGAAAGTATGATGTAGTTCCAGATTTCTCTTTCTCATATTCGACCTACTATACTTCTTAAGCCATTAGAATCTGTTAGTGTGAATAGCCAGTCTAATTCCCTCTTTTACTTTAGTTTCTCCATTAAATAAAAAATTAAAAAGCCATTAAGCATAACTCATGTGAGTAGTGTCACATGAGAACTGTTTTATGATTAAAGTGTTGAGTAAAACTAACACTTTAAAAAATTTTTTGAAGATTTATAGCCTACACATATTATTTTCAAATAGCTTATAATATTTACTCTTCAGGAAAAGTGCTCATTTGAGTTCTCATTCGCAGGTGCTGGTTCCTGAACTAGTCCGTTTAAATACAAACTGCAAATTATTGGTGATTATCTAGTTATAATGTACAAATGCTTCTTTTACTTCCCAGAATCAGATAGTAATTCAGAATCAGATACAGAAGGATCAGAAGAAGAAGATGATGATGATAAAGACCAAGATGAATCAGATAGTGATACTGAAGGAGAGAAAACTTCAATGAAACTGAATAAAACAACTTCCTCTGTCAAAAGCCCTTCCATGAGTCTCACAGCTCACTCAACACCTCGTAACCTCCACATAGCAAAAGCCCCAGGCTCTGCTCCTGCTGCCTTATGTTCTGAATCCCAGTCACCTGCTTTTCTTGGTACATCTTCTTCCACACTTACTTCAAGCCCACACTCTGGTACCTACACTTTATTTTTATTATTCTAAAGTAGAAGTCAACCCATAGCAAGAATTTTTATTGGTAGAGTGTTCTGGAGATGATCTCATGGGAATCAAGATTAAAGCTAGATTTTAGGTTGGCTAAGGAAGGTCAGCAAGTATTTTCAAAGGATATGACCCATTACCTGGTCTTTTTACCCCCCTGAGCTTCCAGTATAAGGATCTGACTGATGACAGTTCTTTTGTTTTTGAATCTTTTCTGCTTTTGTGTTCAGTTTGTGCTTCTAGAATATAGAATTTAATTGACAATTGGACTTTTTTGTACAGTTAACCCTTGAACAATGCAGGGTTTAGGGGCACTGGCCCCTAAACAATTGAAAATCTGTATGTAACTTTTGGTTCCTCAAAAACTTAACTACTGTTAGCCTACTGTTGACCAGAAGCCTTACTGATTACATGAATAGTCCATTAATATATGTTGTATGTGTTATATACTATATTCTTACAATAAAGAGAAAAGAAAAATGTTAGAAAGTCATAAGCAAGAGAAAATGCGTTTATTCTTCATTACGTGGAAGTGGATCATCATAAAGTTCTTCATTCTCATCTTCGTGTTGAGTAGGCTGAGGAACAAGAGGATTGGTCTTGCTGTCTCATGGGTGACAGAGGTGGAGGAAAATCTGAATCTAAGTGGACTCACACAGTTCAAACCCACATTGTTCAAGGGCCAACTGTACTTTATTAAAAAGTTCACTTGCTTACTTAAGATGTTATCCACCCAACATATAGCCAGTGTCATTTCTATTAGTGAGTAGCATTCTTATTCCATGAGCATGCCATGTTTCTTTTTTTCCTATTTGACTTTTTATAAATTCCTAGAGGTCTTCATTTAATATTTCAAATCTACTTTCAGTTCTCATTCAATGTCTGAGAAAATAAATGTATATAGTAAAATATTTTGTTTTTACTTATTTCACTCTCCTCTGATCAATTTCTAGCTTTGCTTTTATTTACCACATACCAACCAGTATGACAACCTACTAATTTTAGATGAATTTAATTTGCATTTCTGAAACTTTATCTCTGTCTTTGAAAATTTTCACATAAAATCCTAATCCTGCTCCTTGGTGGTTTAGGTTAATTAAAAGACCTGGTAGTGTTTTTTTTTTTTTACTATGGATGTATATGGACATAGAAATTAAATTGTCTCTAAATGTGTAAGCCAGCTTTTGAAATTTTCCAGCATCCGAAACCTCATATTTTCAAAGTCAATAATTTAAATTGTTTTTCTGAAACCTCTATTTCCGTCCTGCTTCTCTAGCCATCTGTTTAATAACAAAATGAGAGGAAAGGTGTATGTTTTTACCTTGGATTGTATTTTCTTTAGAGAAAAAAAACAGTAACTCTGTCATTCAGACCCAAAAGAAGAAGAAAAAAGCCCCCTGCCTTACACAGTGTTTTACTGAAAGCCGTCTAAAAATAAAGTGTAAATTGCAGAAATACACTAAATAATCCAAGTCATTAAAATATACTTTTTTAAAGAAAGGTTTCTAAACTATCAAAAGATTATTATCTATATAAATGCATTTTTTATTTTAACCAGTTGAATTTTTTTAAAGGCACTTCCAAAAGAAGAAGAGTAACAGATGAACGTGAACTGCGTATTCCATTGGAATATGGGTATGCAAAATAAGGTTTTCCTTTTTCTTTTTCTTTTTCCCCCATATATTTATGCATGTTTGAGGTATACACGATTTCTCATTCTCTACAGTTGATAAAAGAAGTCCATAAGCTGCATAGTATTTATGCAGCTCTAGCAGAAGAGCCAGAGCGAAGGGCAAGGAATTTGGTATATCAGAAAACTGAAATTAAGTCTGTTTTCTTGAGGTATGGCAGAGCTGGGGTGGGATGATGCAGCCAAGTAGGAACATGACTGAAAAAGAACCAAGAGCAAATTAGATGGCCAAGGGCAGGAAGACAGTGAGACTATGAGAAGTTTTTGTGAAGATAGAATTAAAGGACAGTAGAAGCCACTTTGGTCAAAATTGAGAGACACAACCAGAGTTTGGCTAAAATGGTTGAATTAGAAATGACAGCTTTCAGATTGAATGTACATGAACCTCAAGCAGCAGACAGCCAGGTTTACGTTACTCCTAACTTAAAGCTTTTCAGATGTAAAAAATAGTACAGATTGACATGTTACTGAAATGTCAGAATACCCAAAGTAATTAATTATGATTTCTGAAAATGTTGGAGTTTAAATATTTATAAATCGAATCAATTTTTTAGTTGAATTAGCTAAAAATCTAAATAATTTTAATTGTTTATATATTTGGGTTTTTGGAGGAGTTTGTTTTATTTTTCATGTTTTCTAGAGAACATGTATACTTTAACATTTTTTTATTTTTAAAAGCTCTCTTAAAATTAAGTATGTCATAACCTTCATTTCTGTTATGTATAGCTGGCAGAGAGAGACAAGAATAAGAAACTTTGGAGGGCGCCTTCAAGGAGAAGTAGCATATTATGCTCCATGTGGAAAGAAACTTAGGCAGTACCCTGAAGTAATAAAGGTACATACTTTTCACCAAATAATGTACATTTGGTGCCTATTAAGCATGATCATGTACAAAAAAAAAGTGTACTCCTTTCTTGGATAAAGTTCCTTGATACTAAATATTCTCTTATATGGATGGGACTATTGTACATAACCTAAATTGATCTCCTATAAATTTATAGCCCCTTGATAGAGTATGCAAAACATTAGTGCCGTGAAGCTAGCAATACATGAAAGCTGGGTTGTAATTATTAAAACCTGAAGTGGAAAAATATGTGATTTTTTCAGTATCTCAGCAGAAATGGAATAATGGATATCTCAAGGGACAATTTCAGCTTCAGTGCAAAAATAAGAGTGGGTGACTTCTATGAAGCCAGAGATGGACCGCAGGTATCCACTTTTTAAAAAGTATAGTCTTTGAACCAAAAAGTAGTACCATAACCAAATGAAGTAAATTTCACTACACTCTGGAGCATTGCCTTTCATTAATTAATTCATATGGCTATACATATAACTTTGTGGTAAGCACTCATTAAGGCCTCAGTTTACTATGTTTAACAAGGAGCTTTTACATAATAGGTATCTTTTTCATATTTAAGTAAATTTTTCCTGTTTATTAATTCAACCTACAACTTTACAGTTTATACAGGTATAAAAGTATCTGGATGTTCATATGAAATAATAGGAAAACACTAGTTTCCTGAAATGTACAGCTAGTTTTAAAAACTAATTTGAATATGAAACCCCTATTATTATAAGTCAGTCCAAAAGAGGATATACATGCCCTAGCGTTTTGGAAGAATCTTGTCCATTTGATTATGCTACACTATATGACGCATTTTCACAAGTTTGATAAGTTTTTTTGTCATTTCTTAAATTTAGATAAATGAAATTTTTGGTTTTTGCAGAAATTCACTTTTTACATTAATTGGTGCACGTTTCAGAACATATCACCACTGCTCCTTTGAGTTTATGGTGTTAAGTACACACCCTCACCAATCAGCAAAAAAAACCCACCAAGGAGATCTCATTTCCTGTATTTTCCTTTAATTCCTTTCCTTTGTTCCTTAGTTGTGTTCAGCTGCATGTGCTTTTTACTCCCTTTAGCTGCATTGAAAGGGTTCCCAGTTAAGCAGTAATGAGACCTAGATTCTTGTTAATCCATTAAATACTCTTGTATACTCTTGTAATTTTGAACAATAACAAAATAATGCCCCCTTTCCCTCAACTTTGTTATGTGCCAAATAGAGACAATTATAATTACACTTCTGCCTCATAGGATTATGACAATATTAAAATGAGATCATGTGCATAAAAATGTTTCATAAAGGCTAAAATGCTTAGCCAGCTGAAGTTGATATTTTCTTTCTTGATTGAACCTCTCTCTCTTCCGTCCCATTGTAATGCATAGAAAAAAAATGTTTGGCAATTAAAATTTTGTGAATAGGCAGGTTTTTCTATCCTATCTTACCCCTTAATTTTACAATTTAGAAATGGAAAAGGTCTTCCTTATTCTGCAAGAGTTTCTTAAAATTAGGCAAATGAGTTTTGAAGCTTAAATGAATTTTTTAAGGTCACACAACATCAACAAGGTTGAGACATAACTAGAACTCAAGGTTTCTGAAAAAGTAATCTTTTGCATACATCATGTAACCTATTTTCTATTGTAGTCCATGACTTTTAAAGAAAGAAGTTATGTCTAGATCTACCTGTCTCTTTATTGGTAGTTCTAAAATGCTAAAATGTGTTTATCTGAGATTTATAGAAATATATAAAAATATATTCTAGGGTTTTCTATTTTTCTTTCTTTTTAAGCAAAAACTAAAGATTTTTTTGCTTAGACTAAATCTGTCACCAGATTCTTAGAAATGTAGTGAACCAGTGTTACACATTCTATATACACTAAATCAGTTTTATAGCCATAAAGCATATTAGAAACTTTAAAAATTTTTTTAAAACTTTTGGTTCATGTCGTCAGATTCTTACTTGTATTATTTATGCCAAAGATATCCTTATGATTTTAAGTTCACTAGATTTTTGTTCTGAGAGGAAAGCTAATTTCTATTTAACACATAAAGGATTTTTAGTTTTATATCAGTGACAGTTAGACCTAATCTAAAAAGCCTCATTACACAGAGTAGCATGTTCTTTGACATCCATTCACTTTTTATTAAATATAATCACTGTTTTCCAAATGCATATTGTCTTATTGAGATCAATTCCAATCAAGGAAATAGGATGAATTACTAAAGCCAAATATGTTAAGCCGCTAATATTTCAGCAGAATACTAGGGGAAAACATTTGCAATTTTGAGAGCATTTGTTTTAGCTGAAACCAAAATTAGTACACAGGAATTCAGGACACTTTTAGAGAACAGTAAAGGTAAGTCATCCAAAAAAGTGTTCTAGTTAATTAATTAGAAATGCATAAAGTTATAAAACCATGTATATATTTCTATATACTGGGTTATATGATTCATAGGTATAAGCATATGGTTAACTGGAAATGTATATCATTATATAAGAATTTTCTATGAAAACCAAGATTATGTATTTTTGTAGTAATTATGATATGAAAATAATTTTGATCACCCTAAATTTTGTAGAAGATGTAAAATATAGTGTGGCACAAAGCTACAATGATGATCATATGTGTTTACAATAGATCTACTTTTATGCAAATTGTATAAGTGGTTGGATGATGAAACATGTTTTTAAAAATGCATATTAAGGGCCGGGCATGGTGGCTTATGCCTGTAATCCAAGCACTTTGGAGGCCAAGGTGGGTGGATCACCTGAGGTAGGGAGTTCAAGACTAGCCTGACCAACATGGTGAAACCCCGTCTTAAAAAAATTAAAAAATAAAAAATAAAGAAATATTAAAAAAAAACAAGGTTTGGAAAAATGCATATTAAAAGACTAGAAGAAAATTTGTCAAAACTAATAATGGATGTAATGGTGATAATCGATTTTTTTTTTGCTTTCTACATTTTTTACATGTTGTATCTTTTCTAAAATTTGCTTGTTTTATGTATATAATGTGAAAAACAGGCCAGGTGTAGTGGCTCATGCCTGCAATCTCAGCACTTTGGGAGGCCAAGGTGGACGGATCACTTGAGGTCAGGAGTTCGAGACCAGCCTAACCAATGTGGCGAAACCCAGTCTCTACTAAAAATACAAAAATTAGCTCGAGTAGTGGGAACCCAGCTACTCGAGAGACTGAAGCAGGGAAAACTGCTTGAACCTGGGAGGCAGAGGTTACAGTGAGCCAAGATTGCACCACTATACTCCAACCTAGGTGACAGAGTGAGACTTGGTTTTAAAAAAACAACAATAGGAAAAAAATTTTCTGTCTTTTAAAAGTAAATACCTCTATTCTTTGTAATCTAATAAAGCTGAGAATTCATAGTTTTCCAAATACATGGAGATTGTACAAAATGAACTTAAATATTACAGCTATAGTTTTCCAAGTGTCATATATCTATTGGGGTGTTTGATAGCAAATGAAATGCTGTATTGCAGATCCATTAGTATAGTCAGCCTTCCATATCTGTGTTTTCTGCATTGGTGGATTCGACCAATTATGGATTGAAAATACTCAGGGAAAAAAATTTTATCTGTACTAAACATGTGCAGACATTTTTCCTTGTCATGATTCTCTAAAGAGTATAACGTAACAACTATTTAGGTAACATTACATTGCGTTTGATATTATAGGTAATCTGGAGATGATTTAAAGTATTCAGGAAGGTAGGTATAGGTTATATGCCAATACTATGTTATTTTTATTCAGGGACTTGATTATCTGCAGATTTTAGTATTCATAGAGGGGGGTTCTGTTTGCCAAGGGACGACTCTATTCTCCTATTAAAACATTTGCCAGGAAAATGTAGTTTCTTCATCATGTTTTTCTCTTTGTTTTTTTGTTTTTTGTTTTGGAGATGGAGCCTTGCTCTGTCGCCAGGCCAGAGTACCCTAGTAGCTGGGACTACAGGCACATGCCACCACGCCCAGTTAATTTTTGTATTTTTAGTAGAGACAGGGTTTTAGTATGTTGGTCAGGATGGTCTCCATCTCTTGACCTCATGATCCGCCAGCCTTGCCCTAAGTGCTGGTATTATAGGTGTGCACCACTGCGCCCAGAATTTTTCCTCCTAAAACATATCCCTAAACTCCCAACAATAGTTCTGTATGTTCTAATTTTACTTGACACATTACAAAAATTGTATCAGTGGAATTCCAGTTCTCCATATTTTACGTGTAAAATTTAGGAGATAATACTTTCTGCTAGAAGATAATATCTGTAATACAGAATTATGGGTTTTTCTCTTGTTTATTGAGAAAATGATTTATTCCTTCCAGAAGTATAATTTACATCTAAGGCCATTAATCTCAATATTAAATACTAAAGAAGTAAAAAAGTTAATTGAAAACAAAAAACAAGTCCCCTCACCCCAAGGTCTGTATAGCAACCTGTGATAAATCTGAAAGAGAAACAGCAGCCCATCAATATTTTATTTCAGAAAAGATAAAATCATTGTTTATTACATTTAAGAATTTTTTTGTTTTAATATTATTTTTTAAAGAAAAAAGCCCATAATTTAAAAACTCTTTTTTAATAGCCATTCTGACTAGTGTCAGAATGAGATGGTATTTCATTGTGGTTTTGATTTGCATTTCTTTAATGTTTAAGGATGCTGAGCATTTCTGCCTATGTTTGTTGGCTCCATGTATATCTCTTTTTTCAGAAGTGTTTGTTCATGTTCGTTTTTAAATGGGGTTATTTTTTGTTTTTTGAATTAAGTTTCTTAGAGAGTCTAGATATTACACCTTTGTCAGAAGTATAGTTTGTGAATATTTGCTCCCATTCTGTAGGTTGTCTGTTGATAGTTTCTTTTGCTATACAGAACAGAAGCTCTAGTTTAATTAGGTCTCAATTGTCAATTTTTATTTTTATTGCAGTTGCTTTTAGAGACTTTGTAATAAATTATTTGCCAAGGCTGATGTCCAGAATGATATTGCCTAGTTTTGCTCCTAGGAATTTATAGTTTTAGATCCTACATTTAAGTCATTAATCCATGTAGAGTTAATTTTTGTATATGATGAAAGGAAGGGGTCTACTTTCAATCTTCTGCATATGTCTAGTCAGTTATCCCAGCACCATTTATTGAATAAGAGAGTTCTTTCTCTATTGCTTGTTATTGTTGACTTGGTCAAAAATCAAGTGGTCATGGGTATGCAGTCTTATTTCTGCCTTCTCTGTCCTGTTCCATTGGTCTGTGTGTCTGTTTTGGTACCAGTACCATGCTGGTTTGGTTATCGTAGCCTTGTAGTACAGCTGGAAGTCAGGTAAGTGTGATGCCTCCAGCTTTGTTCTTTTAGCTTAGATT